GCATGAGGAAAAAGAAGAACCCCCGGGTTTTAAAGCTAAAGACCTACAAAATCTCGGGCCCACATGCAAACCCTTTTTTTTTGACAAATCAACAAAAAGGGAAAACTTTAAACAAGAATGGAGTACATGGGGGGCCCCACGGGGGAAAAGCCTTTGGGCTGTCCAAAAAAAATTGCACGTTTGAATTTTCAAAAAAACACCTGGATTTCCACACACACTGGCAAAATAGAACCAAGAGGGAAACCCAAAGATTGATTTTGTTTGGGGGAAGAACACACCACATGGGGTGGAAAAAAAAGGGCCACAGCCCCCAAACACAAAACCCCCCCCCACGTAAAAACATGGGGGAGGGAGGACAGGGTTTGGGGGCTGCTTTGCTGCCCCCCGGGCCCTTTGGAGGGCTTTGTTGCCATTTTTTTTGGAAAATAAATTCCCCCAAAATTTTAAAATAAAGACTTTTTGGGGTAGGAAAAACGACGCCATCGTCCGCCAACTAAGCCCGAAAGGGGAGGGGTTTGATCCCAACGGGAAAATGACCCAAAGCATACAAGTAATTCAACAAAACATTTGGGGGTGCAACAGCACAGAATATGCCTTTTGGGGGTGGCCCCGCAAGTCCTGACCTCCCCCCCTTGAAAAGCTGTGGCTGGGCCTTCAAAGAAACGATTCACAAACCCCGACATCCCCAAAAATATTTGCTACAATAAAAAGTTTTTTGGGAAAAGGAGGGGTCCAAAAAAAGACCCAGAACGTTGTGCAAGTCGATCTGCAACTACAGGAAACGTTTTGGTTGAGGTTATTGCTGCCCAAAAAGGGGGGTCAACCAGGGTTTTTTAAAACCAAAGGGTTTTACATACTTTTTCCTCCCTTTAAATGAAAAGTTTACATTTATTGCAAATAAACCAGGGAAAATCCCAATGGGTTTGGTATATTATGTTCACAAAAATGTGTTTTTATATTGTTTGACTTTAAGAACGGGTTTACCGCACAAATTTTTTTCCCCAAATTTAACAAACTCCACGTAAATCCCCAAGGGGTTTTACATACTTTTTCTTCAACTGTATATAACAAAAAATTTTGAATCCCCCCCTTTAAAAGTATCCTAAGTTAAAGGGTTGGGGGAGCACCGGAGTCCCATAAGGAAAAATAGCTGTCCAAATGTAAAGGGAAAAGGTTTTGGGGAAAAAAAGGAAAAGTAGGGAAAAAAGGGAAGGAAATTAAAGGGGGGGAAAAATGGAAAAGGAAAAAGGGGGAAGAAGGGAATTCTACCCTCGGGCCAAAGGACACTCTAGGCATACCCAACTAGCATCCCGATGACTCCATACAAGCAGCCCCGCATCAGCACTATTAGCCTCCCACAAACGAGACCAAACCACATACAAGGAGGTGGGAAGGTCCACCTATGGTGCGATTTATTCATATGGCCAATCTAACACAGCCACAATGACAGTATTAGGGTAATGATGTCACAAGGATCCCCACTCCTTAAATCTGCATGAAGCTGCAGGGCTGGGAATAGCCCTGCGCCGCAGCTGACTGGCCTGCAACTGACAACTTCCTTCCAGGTTGGACCAAACATGTGTTCTGATTTGAAAAAAGGTCATCAGAGCACAACCTAAACAGTAAAGTGTGATCGTTGGCAGATCTGACTCTTTTACCATGGATAATTCATCATTCTGCTAGTTCAGTGGTCCTCCAAACTGCAGGTAGCCCTTCTGCTTGAATTTACTCTGGCCCGGGAACTACACCTACCGCTGACAATAACAATGCGACATAATTCCTCCACACTGACAGAAATGAAGAGGCACTATTCCTCCCAGTGACACAATGAAGGGGCACTATCCTCCCAGTGACACAATGATCTGGGGCAACTATACCTCAGCCAGTGACACACAAGTGAAGGGGCACTATTCCTCCTCCCACTGTACACCAACGATGGAAAGCACTATTTCCAACCCACTGCAGGAATGGATGGGGCACGTCTATTCCTCCCAAGTGACACCAATGATGGAACACTATACCGCTACCACCCACTGACACCAAGGATGGTAGCACTATTTCACACCACTGACAGGAATGGATGGGCACTATTCCGTCCCACTGACACCAATGACTGGGGCACCATTCCACCCACTGACACCAATGATGGGGCCACTATTCCTCCCACTGATACCTACTGAAGGGCACTATTCCTCCCACTGACACCAACTATGGAGCACTAATCCTCCCATACCTGACACCAACGATGGAAGCACTATTCCTCCCAACCACTGTACACACAATGATTGGGGCCACTATTCCTCCCAATGACACCAACTTTACATGTGTAGTGCCAGCATATTTCACTCCACTGACACCCAACGATGGAACACTATTTCACCCACTGACACCAATGATGGAACACTATTCCTCCCACTGACACCAATGATAGGGCGCTATTCCTCCCACTGACGTTATCAACTATGGCACACACCCTTCTCTCTAATACCAAAAAGAGGCATTGTTCACTCCCATGCCAGGAACATATTCTACTCACTGGCAATTAGTCCGACCCCGCTCTAAAGACTGAAGGAAGTAAACTGGCCCTTTGTTTAGGGGAGACCTCTGTGGTAAGAGCAAAATTATAAGGCCACAATAAAACAAAAGTCCTCATGAATATAAACGCATGACACTGCTTTTTTCCCCTTTAATATCCTGATTTGTTTTTAAAGGAGATCACCAACCAAGCAAATCAGAAAGTTGCCTTGACACTCACATAAATCGGCTGTAAGTCCAGGGAAAGAACACGTGGGAAGGCAACTGTCAGGCCACAATGCAGATGAACAAGTGTCCTGTGCTGACACCCTATTTTGAGGAGGGACACAAAAAGGACAGGCTATATTGTAGAAACAATCCCAGAGGACAAACAGTCTTGTCCTACAGAACTGCTGATGGAGGTCCTCGTTTTATCTAATACAAAGGAGCCGAAGAGTCTACATGCTGCAGTCTCAGTGCTTCCCTCCCACAATCACTGCAGTTGTCTATCGGTCTCTTCCCCTCCAGTCTTTCTACCGCTGTCTGTTGTAACTCATCCTATGCTGATCTCCACCCTGGGCGAGTGTGTATGCACTTAGACATGTACCCCTCTGCTTTGATTTCCCAATCACCTATTCAGGGACCTGAACATAGCCAAATCTACGCATGCCTGTTTAAATCATCTTACAAATAATATATAAGGTATATATATATAATAGTGAGGAAAACATTAATTATGATTAAGAAAATAATATTCTGAATCTTTCTGTTCAAATGCTTATTTATATATACAGTTGTGTTCAAAATAATAGCAGTGTGTTGAAAAAAGTGAATAAAGCTCAAAAATCCTTCTAATACAGCTTTTATTTCCATCCACACAAATGCATTGGGAACACGACACATTCTATTCCAAATCAAAACATGAAGAAAAATATATCAAATTTGTGTTGTTCCTCTAAAAAAAATTGAAGAAAAGTGAATATTTAGACGGTTCAAAAAATCGCAGTGTTTGTATTCTTCTTTACAAACTCAAACATTCACTATATAAACTGAGAACTAGTTTGAAGATTTTTGCTTTCCTTTGAATGACTTCATGAAATAATTTGGTTGTAGTCGCACTGTTTCTGAGAAACTATGCTGTACATCCGTGTTGCATGGAGTCACCCAACTTCTGGCCCCTGTGATCAGGTATTCCAGCCCAGGATGATTGGACCACATTCCACAGTTCTTCTCTATTTCTTGGTTTTGCCTCAGAAACGGCATTTTTGATGTCACCCCCCACAAGTTTTCTATTGGATTAGGATCCGGGGATAGGGCTGGCCACTCCATAACATCAATTTGTTGGCCTGGAACCAAGATGTTGCACGTTTACTGGTGTGTTTTGGGGTCGTTGTCTTGTTGGAACACCCATTTCAAGGGCATTTCCTCTTCATCAAAGGCAGCATGACCTCTTCAAGTATTCTGATGTATTCAAACTGATCCATGATCCTGGTATGCGATAAATAAGGCCCAACACCGTAGTATGAGAAACATCCCCATATCTATGATGCTTGCACCTCCATGCTTCAACGGTCTTCACAGTGTACTGTGGCTTGAATTCAGTGTTTGGGGTCGTCTGACAAACTGTCTCCGCCCCACTAGACCCAAAAAGAACAATCTTATTTTCATCAGTCCACAAAATGTTGCGCCATTTCTCTTTAGGCCGGTCAATGTGCTCTTTGGCAAATGGTAACCTCTTCAGCACACTTTTTTTCCAACAGTGGGACTTTGCGGGGGCTTCTTGCAGATAGCTTGGCTTCACATAGGCGTCTTCTAATTGTAAACAGTCCTCACATGGAACGTCACACCTTCTTTCATCTTCCTGGAGCTGATTGTTGGCTGAGCGTCCGCGCCATTTTGGCTATTCTTCTTCTATCCATTCCAATGGTAGTTTTTCACTTTCTTCCACATCTTTCAGGTTTTGGTTGCCATTTTAAAGCATTTGCGATCATTTTAGCTGAGCAGCCTATCATTTTCTGCACTTCTTTATATGTTTTCCCTCTCTCCAATCAACTTTTTAATCAAGGTACGCTGTTCTTCTGAACAATGTCTGGAACGACCCATTTTCCTCAGAATTTCAGAGAGAAATGCACTGTAACCAGCATGTACAACATTTGCTGCCTTCCTTCCTTAAAAAATGGCAATAATTGCCACCTGTTTTTCAAAGAATGAATGACCTCACTAATAGAACTCCACACTGCTATTATTTGAACACGCCCTTTCAATGAGTGATTCAATGACACAGAATCAGCAGCATGCATGTCATGACTGTTGGGTCTGTTGGATTTCTATTACTCTACTACACCTGCTAGGAAATTATTTGCCATTGTGAGAAATATCATTTCTACCAAAAACAGTGATTGATAACCGGTTAGTGATGTCTGACTGCTATTATTTTGAACACAACTGTATATATATAATATATATTTATTTTTATAGAAAAGCCTTTACAGTATTAGAAGAGGACTTACAGCTTCAGTGTAGGAGTCGCTATTTTGTTCTTCATGAGCTTCAAGGAGTTTCTGAGGGAGACAAATAAAAAGACATTTTAAATGTCCCAGTAAACCTACCTATAACCCACAGCAAACATCTCCTACCCCAATAAAGAAATCTTTGTTCTTGGCACAAAACCACAACCTATACGGTATAAGACACACCAACCTTTAACAGTTTGCACTCCCTGGAATCTGAAAATGCAGGAAACATTTCTTCATATTTTTCCACAGCAAGCTGAAAAATAGGGCAGAAGAGGAGTGAGTGCCCCTTCTAACCAAACTTAAAAGAAGTAAAAAAACAGCCATGAAGGGGGTTAAAAAAAAAAAACTGAAAAAAAAAACAACAAAAAAAAAAAAAACTTACATTTTGCCCCCTCAATATTAACTAAGTGATTTATGCCAATAAAAATCCTGCCATAGCCCAGTGACTCAGCAAACACATATTAATATAACTGAAAGTATAAATGGTGTTGCGCTGCTCTCACCAATTCCTAAATAAACTTTAGGAAGATCCATGTGATAAACCAAATAAAAAAAAAGACTCAGTAAGTAATTATTTATTTATTTCAGATACTTATATAGCGCCATGAATTTACGCAGCGCTTTACATATATATTGTACATTCACATCAGTCCCTAACCCTCAAGGGGTGTACAATCTAAGGTCCCTAAAACTCACATTCATACATACACATACTCAGGGACAATTTAGACAGGAGCCAATTAACCTACCAGCATGTCTTTGGAGTGTGGGGAGGAAACCAGAGTACCCGGAGGAAAACCCCACGCAGGCACAGGGAGAACATGCAAACTCCAGGCAGGTGGTGCTGTGGTTGGGATTCGAACCAATAACCCTAGTACTGCCAGGCGGAAGTGCTAACCATTTAGCCACTGTGCTGCCCAAAATACATGAAAAATAAACACCTGGCAGAGCTCCTTAACCTTATAGTGTGAAGCAATGAGATATAATCACTACAAATAAATCAAAATATGCTTAGGGAAAAATTATACAGATGAAGTGAAAATGCATATAAAAGTAAACACCTGTCAGAGCTACTTAAATGACCTTATATATGTAAAGCAATGTGATATAATCACTAGAAACAAATGAAAAAATGCTCAATGATTAAAAAAAAAAAGTGAAACAATATAATAAATAAAAAGTAAAACCCTGACAGAGCTCTTCCAAAAAAAGTATATTTTAGAGTTAATAAAGGAACACACCCAATGGATCGTGTCAACAAAATACCATATAAGTGAATAAATGATGGCGAATAAACCACTCTCTAAATAAGTTCAAAAATGTAAAATGGAATCCACGTATTAGGCATATAAGAATAAAAACCTGGCTGAGAGCACCTGCCGGAAAAAATATTGCTAATAATCATCAAATAAAGCGAAAAAAGTAAAAAATATGCCAAACGTTAACACAAGTCCCAAGGTCGATATTCAAGCAAATAAATGGTACAGTCCTTTTGACCCATATCTTCCAAATACAGAATATTCGCCGGGGACTTGCAAATGTATTTAATAAATCACCACACGTGCTCCTCCACCTTCCAGCATGCACGCTCACCTCAAAGATTGACCCATAAGTTATACAGGTCAAATGCGATTTGTGATTAGATCGATCCTCGGATGATTTTGGATATCCCACAGTTCTCCACAGGTTTCAGTATGGCAAACTCTTGCGATATCACTTCAGTGGATATGCAAACTTTAAAAAGGGTTCACACACACGTGTGAAGTGTATGGTACCCTCAGCACAGACTCCAGCCAGACAATCGAGCCAGGGACTGAAAAGTGCTCCACTGCAGATTGCTTTTCATAGGGTTGTAAAGCATACCGCCAGTGCAAAAGAAGTCTTTTCGGTTTATATACAATTTAAAGGCTAAGTTTATGTTTAAAAAAATAAATAAATAAATCCACATTTTTTGCGAGTTAAAGAAAAAGGTCATTTATTAATTTTTTTGTAGGAGTCTGTAAACCATTGAAGTTGCGATCAGCAGATCACTGTGCCATGCAGGGCTCCTGCAGACTGTCAGTGTAAGCTGTTTGCTTGTACCTCGTATGGGCAGGCAGTTACTGAATGACAGGAAGAACCAACAGACTACCAGAGTGCTCGCTAGCTCCCTGATAGTTATTATTATTATTATACAGTATTTATAAAGCGCCGATAGTTCGCTCAGCGCTGTACATTACAAAGGGGGACAGAACATGTGACAGAACAATACCAATACAATGCAAAACATGAGGGGATCGAGGGCCCTGCTCTTTCCAGCTTACAATCTAGGAGGGGGGGGATGGTGGCACAGGAGGAGATAGCTGTGGGGGATGGAGTGGTAGGAAGAGTGGAGGAGGTCGGCAAGTTAGCAGGGGGCCGCAAACGTCTGTCGTTACTTGTAGTTAATCTATTCACAGAACTCTGTAAATGAATGAAGAAGCCATGTGGGCGGAGCCCCGTACAGCCATGCTCTTTTCAAATAGTGACAACAGGTGCAAGGAGAAGATCCCCGGCCCGCTGTCATGGAGGGGCGAGGGGAGACAGCTGCAGGAGCAGGAACATGTTACGTGTTCCACCCTAAAAAGAGGCGGAACATGTAACATGTTCCCAAAGCTAGAGCAGAACAGTGGCTAAGTGGTTAGCACTTCCACCTGGCAGTACTCGGGTCGTTGGTTTGAATCCCAGCCACGGCACCACCTGCCTGGAGTTTGCATGTTCTCCCTGTGCCTGCGTGGGTTTCCTCCAGGTACTCTGGTTTCCTCCCACACTCCAAAGACATGCTGGTAGGTTAATTGTCTCCTGTCTAAATTGTCCCTAGTATGTGATAAAGTAAAGAAATAAGTGAGCGCTTTTTTAAAAATTAAAGCAGCTAGGCACACAGGATAACCAATAAAAATCCTCACAGTGACATTATATATAGAAGTGCAGCGCTATAAAATAACATACAAATATAAAAAACATACAAATATAAAAAAACCACACAATGTTTAAATGTAAATAAAGATAGTCCCAGCAAAGGTGACTTAAAGTAAAAGTGCACACTAACCAGATGTGCACATTAAAAGTGCAATGTAGAGATCATATTGCTCATGGTGTAATCATCAGAGTAGAAATGGTGTTTCCTTGGTCAGAAAAGATCCCCGGATGGTGCAGAGCTGGGCAGGAAGAGTTCTTTCTCGGAGGATGTGCTTGGCACGTAACGCGTAAGGAGGAGCTTACGCACGCCGTGACGTTACGCCGTCGGAGCATCGTGGAGCTCTGGCGGCTATTACATCTGACAGGACGGTTAGCCCTGTCTGTACTAGCTTTTTTATTGGATGCATCCCCTCTGCTACTGTCACTTTTTATTACAATAAATTGTTTATGCAATACTTTCACTATGGGCATTTTTTCTTGACCTCCCGTGGGGAGCAACCTTTTTCTAGATACGTTTTTTGCCCAGTTTTGGAGGAGTCGTTCTCTTCAGGTGGATCATCGTCCTGTTCCCGGTTATCTAGGATTTTCTCTTCCTGCCCAGCTCTGCACCATCCGGGGATCTTTTCTGACCAAGGAAACACCATTTCTACTCTGATGATTACACCATGAGCAATATGATCTCTACATTGCACTTTTAATGTGCACATCTGGTTAGTGTGCACTTTTACTCTAAGTCACCTTTGCTGGGACTATCTTTATTTACATTTAAACATTGTGTGTTTTTTTTTATATTTGTATGTTTTTTTATAGCGCTGCACTTCTATATATAATGTCCCTAGTATGTGTATGTATGAATGTGAGTTGTGGACCTTAGATTGTACACCCCTTGAGGGTTAGGGACTGATGTGAATGTACAATATATATGTAAAGTGCTGTGTAAACGGACGGCGCTATATAAGTACCCGAAATAAATAAAGCTGAACTAATCCTTTAATAAAATGGGGATAATAAAAAAAGGCCAAACAGATATGGCAGATGAACTGCACACGGCGACCTGTACACTGACCTCCTTATACAGACATCAACCCCTGAAAAAGCTTCCACTTCCACACAGAACATACACTTTACCTTGGCGTTCAGTTCATCCACAATGAAGTGGCAGAGAGCAGCTTTGAAGAAATATTCTTTTGCACTATACTTCAGCAGAGGATTATCCATCGTGCTTGTACCAACCTAGAAGAGATTAGATTGGGGATTTATGATGGAACACTCAGATGCAGAAATAAAGACAGATTAGGGAACAGTAACAAAACGGAAGTCTTTCCACTTCTGAACACATTAGCCGCTCCTTCCAATTAGAAAAGGATTAATAGCCCGTTCTATATTTTATCTTCATTTCCTAAGATTTCAGCTTATTTCCGTTATCTCAATATTTCCAATGTTCTAAAAAGGAACCAAATTGTACTTTACTGGCCTTGTTATTTTAATCACAAGAATCTAAGTTTGAAACATTAAAGAAAAAGTATCTGGAAATCCTGTGGGGGAATGTGTTATAAAACTCAGTTCAGTCTTCCAACACACTGAAAAGAGCCCCTTTGAGATCCGTGTATTTCAGATTCCCTCTGTTGTAAAACAAAAGATACTTGCACCCTGCTCACCCTGAGTAGCGATGTTCATGTGAGCGCCATGCAGGGAGCATGCTGCCCACTGGAGATGCGCACAGCTGCGCGCTATTGTTGAGCAGCGCTCCAGATCACCAGCATGCTGCAGGCAGAAGAAATTTTAGCAAAGCTGAATTAAGGGAGTCAGCTTTGAATTTTGAAGCAGCCGGGCTGCAAAACAGTAAAGCTGGTCATGGATTATTTTTTTTCTGATGGCTGAATGGAAAATTAACAAATTCCTACATCCACACAATCGAGGATTAACTGGGCTATTATGCCATGTGGGGGGGAGGGAAGGTCTGCCTGATCCAATGACCATTGTGACTGGCAGTCACACAGGTCCCATGATCGTGAGCCGGTCCCAATCATTGCTACAAACTGGGAGTTGTCTCTGACAGCTCAGTCACTGTGCTAGGAGCACGCTCTCAGCACAGGAACTGCTGCAGCCCAAGCATGTATATGTGCAGTGTGTGGGCATCACAGCCCATCCTATTTACCATTGCACTTATGATTACATGGGCAGAAATAGGTTAAAGAAAAGCCCTAACTGGCAGGACAAAGTAAGTTTTCTGCAATGCGCCCCCCCCCCCCCCCATATACTCACCTTACCTGCACTCCCTCACCCTCCTCCCTTTGTTATAGCAGTCACAGAAAAAAAAAAAAAACGTGGAGAGAGGTCAGGACCTCGGGTCATGTGACAGTGCTGGCATCTAGTGATTGGCGACTAGGCTGCTGAGAGATGTCCCAGCGCCCTCACACCCAGAATCCCTAGGAACGGATACCAGGCTGCGTCACAGAAAGAAGAAAAGAGAGCGCTAGCAAGTACAAGGAGCCAAGGAGGGGCTTTTACAGAGGGACTGTCACTTTTCCTGCAAGGACAAGGTCACAGTGTCTTTTTTAAAGGCAAGCCATTAATATCATCTGCTATGTATCGGCTCTCATTGGTTCATTTTAAAGTGGTTATAAAGGTTCTGCTTTTTTTAAAATACCTACCTGCTCTGTGCAATGGTTTTGCATCCCCGATCCTCCTCTTCTTGGTTCCCCCCGCCAGTGCTTCTGGCCTCTACCAGCTGCTGAATGCCCCCAGAGAAAACTGCTTGCTCTGGGGGCATTCGTGCATCCTCGATGTGTGTCTATGGAACACAGAGCGTGGCTGAGCCCCACCCCCATTCCCTCGTCACTGGCTGTGATTGACAGCAGCAGGAGCCAATGGTTCCCGCAGCCCTGTCTCAGCCAATGAGGAGAGAGAGAGATCCAAGGACAGCCGAGGTTCTCGAGCACATCGCTAGACCAGGATCTGGCTCAGGAAAGTATTCGGGGGGAAGCTGCATACAGAACGTTTTTTTTTTACCTGCAAACATAGAATACATGAAGATGAAAAGCCCTGAGCCTTTACAACCACTTTAACTTTTTAAATACTATCAGGTTCATAGGGATGAAATTCTCTTCTAGTCTGTGTGTATCAATGCCATCACAGAATAATACATTTTTACTGAGCTACAAATATAAACACAATGCCAGGATGAACATATATATATACACACACACACAAATACTAATTGTCCCCAAAAACTTTAGTAGTCCAAATATTGATAAATAAGTGCCAGTGCTCAAACGTGCTTCAATTGTGTTTTCTCTTCCTTATGATAATAAAGTGCCACTCTCCACCGCAAACACCACTGTGCAAAAATGTGCCATTACCCTTGTGGCACCTCCTGATGATGTCCTGGAAGTGACGAAACACGTACGTGTAGGGGGTGGAACGCAGTTAGTCTGTAGGCCACTTCCATGAACTGGAATGCACACCAGACACACAGACATTACACGGGCTGGAGTGGCCACGGGATATTCATTAATCGGCAGATTCCAGGGTGCCAGGGGGGCATCGGAGATTGTGAGTGTTTTTAACCTCCCTGGCAGTCTGATTATGTCAGTATTTCTGTGCTCAAAGCGGTACATTGTTTTCAATAGAAATATGTTGTTTTTTTTATTGTAGGCCTGTAATTCTTAGGAATAACTCACTGAAATCTGTCCGAACAAGAGTCTAGTAAACATCCCGGGGATGTTAAAATTTGAAACACGAAATCATAAATTATAATATAATAATCATAAAAAATATTATAATAATAAATTTAATTCAATAATATAATCAAACCAAAAACACTGAAATGTGAAATATAGCGCCAAGTTCGCACATCACTGAGCTCAGTCGCAGAATCGTTTTCAGTGTTTGATGAGGAATTTCCCCCACGAATCATTATCACTCAATTCTGCAAGTGGTTCTGATTTACTATCGCTGTTCTCTAGCCGGTCTAAAACCGATTTTGACATAAAGGGACGCTTTTTGAACGCCATGGACGTTTCTCAGTTTGCAGGCAGAAAGAATAGTAAAAATGCAGGTAGGGCGCCGGACAAAGCACTCGGGACAAAATGTATGTGAAACGGGGAAGCACAGTGGCTAAATGGTTAGCACTTCCGCCTGGCAGTACTAGGGTCATTGGTTCAAATCCCAACCTGCCTGGAGTTTGCATGTTCTCCCTGTGCCTGCGTGGGTTTCCTCCAGGTACTCCAGTTTCCTCCCACACTCCAAAGACATGCTGGTAGGTGAATTGGATCCTGTCTAAATTGGCCCTAGTATGTGTATGTATGAATGTGAGTTAGGGAACCTTAGATTGTACGCCCCTTGAGGGTTAGGAACTGATGTGAATGTACAATATATATGTAAAGTGCTGCATAAAAGTACTTGCAATAAATAAATAATGTAATACTATCAGATTTTAGTGTATTGAGTGAATGTCAAATTTTTTCATTTTTGAAATTCCTGCCGATCCTGTCCCCCGTACGTCCGGACGCTCGCAGGGAACGGAACCCAGAAGACAGATGCCAACATCGGCCGGAGACGCTGCAGGGGGGACATCGCGGAGCGCAGGACAAGATAAGTGCTTGAGTGATTCCGAAGCAACGCTGCAGTGTAATCCCGAGTGTAGTTCGGGGTTACCGCTTTTGGAACTGAAAGTCAACCCCGAGCTACACTTGGGAATACCGCCAGGAGGGTTAAACCCTTTTAATTTGCTGGTTTTATAATAAATGGTATGAACTATGAGATCCTTCTCTGCTTAAATCCTTCTTTGCATGTGAGCTGTTTTATGGACCTGAGCCATAGAGGCTGAGACTAGGGGAGAACTGCCATGCACAAGCATTTTAGACCTACCTTGGTATAAGCTAGAGTAGTCACCTCTGTTTGGTGAGTGTGGATTGGCAAGGGCACATTTTTGCATAGAGTGAAGTGTTGGAGGTGGAGAGTGGCACTTTATTTCTACATAGAAGAGAGAGCACAATCCAAGCACTGTTGAGCACTGGCACTTTACAAAAGGAGAGGTTGACACTATTTGGACTATTTAAGCTTTCATGGACAATTAGTATTTATACAGTCAGGTCCATAAAAATGCCCCAAGAACAAGCAGGAACTGAAGACAGTTGCAGTAGAGGCCTGGCAGAGCATCACCAGGGATGAAACCCAGCGTCTGGGGATGTCTATGCGTTCCAGACTTCAGGCTGTAATTGACTGCAAAGGATTTGCAACCAAGTATTAAAAAGTGAAAGCTTGATTTATGATTATTATTCTGTCCCATTACTTTTGGTCCCTTAACAAGTGGGAGGCACATATGCAAACTGTTGTAATTCCTACACTGTTCACTTGATTTGGATGTAAATACCCTCAAATTAAAGCTGACAGTCTGCAGTTAAAGCACATCTTGTTCGTTTCATTTCAAATCCATTGTGGTGGTGTATAGAGCCAAAAATTTTAGAATTGTGTCAATGTCCCAATATTTATGGACCTGACTGTATATATGTTCATTTATTAATATTTGTAGTATTGGGTAAGTGTGGTTTTTATATCATTTCCATATCTGGTTAATGTGCACACACTGAAAAAACTGCAGCTACCCACACGAGTGGTTAGGATTACTGTTGTGCGGGTATTTTCATTATTACCATAATGCCAGAATAACACAGGGGACTCTTTACCTGTTCATAGATTTCTATTGCCTTTTGGTACTGTTCCAGTTGTGCGGTATATGCAGCCACCTTTAGCAGACACTTATTGGCAGAGCTGAAATGACAAATCAAAGCCAAAAATCACTTCTCATCCCATCGTACCTCAAAGCTTTGAGTACAGATTTATCACCCTACCTGTTAGATTCTTCCCCCTTATAGTAATCTGCTGACTGCTCATAGTGTGCAATGGCCTGAAAAAGGAAAGTCAAAATTACAGTAGTCAGTCAAAATACAAAACAGCAAAGAAACGAATAAGATGTTTGCCAGTTTATGTTTACTTCAAAAACAAAACTATAATTATATGCTACTTAAAACATAGCCAATGCAATCTATGGGTTAAATTTACTTTTCTTTTTTTTTAACGAACCGATGAAACCTGTATAATTGCTACACAAACTATTTTGTAACTGTTTGGTATTACAAGATCTCTTTCAATTTAAATCTGCAGCCAGCCAAGTTTAATTAAACTAAACAAAACTATTAAGGACAATGTGCTTCCTTAACCATTTGCCACTCGCCCTATGGCTGAATGGTGGGCAGCAAATGTCATCAGCGTTCCGGGTGGACGCCATATGGCGTCCTCCCGCACATGCGCAGATTGCGCTCCTGCAGAGCGGCGCAGCGGCGCGATCTGTCACCGGCCGTGTACCTCAGACACGGCCGATGACAGATCTGAGTATTGGCCCCGTTGCCGGTACCATGTGACCTGCTGTGACCAATCACAGCAAGTCACATGACAGTTGTATACAACGCATGGCTTCATTCATGCCATCCATTGTATACTACTGCCTAGCTGTGAATGGTCACAGCGATCACATGCACATGTCATGTGCTTAGCTGTGGCCAAATCACAGCTAAGCACAAAAAAAAAAAAACAAAAAAAAAAAAAACCCTGAATGAATCGATGTCATTCAGGTAAATGCTTGCCTATAGCAAAGTAATTCTTTGCTATAAGCAAATTGTGTAAAAAAAAAAAATACTGATCACTTCCCCAAATTAGTACAATGTACTATGGTAACATTGTACTACTTTCCTCATAGTGAAATATGAAAAAAAAAAAAAAATCTTAAAAAAAAAGAAAACAAAATTTAATAAAAAATAAAAAAAAAAAAAAAAAATATATAATTTTTTTTTTCCATACTGTCACCAGTCAGTGTCCCTGATCACTGCCATGCCAGTTATATGATGACGCTGTACTGCACTGGTAACAATATGTAAAAAAAAAAATAGCGAAACAAATTTTTTTCATTTTTTAATTTTCCGAAAAATTAATGACAAAAAAAAACACAACTTCAAAAAACTCGCCATGCCTCTTATGAAGTACGTCGGACTGTCTACTCTGCAAAAAGGGGTCATTTGGGGGATATCTGTACTATTCTGACATTCTTGGACCTCAAGAAATTAGATTGGCTGTCAGTACTTCAGGATTGATCAATATTCAGATCTATACCATACTTTGTGAACTCTATAACTTTCCTACAAACTAAATAATACATCCTAATTTGGGTTATATTCACCAAAGACATGTAGCAGAATACATCTCGGCCTAAATTTATGAAGAACAATTATTTATTTGCAAACTTTTATAACAGAAACAAAGAAAAACTTTTTTTTTTCAAAATTTTTGGTCTTTTTTTGTTAATTTAGCAAAAAATAAAAACCCCAGCGGTGATTAAATACCACCAAAAGAAAGCTCTAGTTGTGTGAAGAAAATGATAACATTTTAGCATTAAATTGTTTACGTTGGTGATTGCCCGGTATTGAATTAGTTAACCACATATATACCTCTGTATGTTTTATGTCATGAAGTGGAAGACACTTATTTCTGCAGTGCCATACAAAAACGCCATTGCACCAATCACCAGCAGACAGACAATGTGCCATTAGTAGCCGTCAACTAAACTGTCATTGGATGACTCAGGTCACAGACACAATGTACAGAACACATTTGAACAGCTCTGTTCCATGTGATCTCTGTGACGACCAATCACAGCAATCACCAACGTAAACAATTTAATGCTTACGTTGGAGAGCAAGCACCTTCCTCTCACAAAGGAGAAAATAATGAATAAATAAATCAATCTTAGGCCTTACACATGAACTCTCCTAGTCAAACTCTCCTGGCAGCAGAAAAATGCTAAACACGGCAAAAACGTTTGTAAACGCGGTGCCGCGTTTAGCGCTTGGACGTTTATTTGATTGGCCAGAGTATTTTCCATTGACATTGATAAATGGCCAAGCACTACATGCAGCTAGCGTTTAGCCGCGTTTTTGTTCCTTTCCTTGTGACGATTGAGGCGTCAGACCCCAGCCCTTCTCACCACATGCGTAACAATGCCACGCCCAGCTGTACTCTGCACAAAGATTTTCCAACTAATGGACCACAATCTGTGTATCTGCATCCTGGCAGCGATTGTTACTGGGTCAGGTTAATTACGCAATTAACCCTTCACACTGCCACCACCTCCTTTTTGTACAGAGAAAGAGGAAACTCGGCAATATCAGCAATAACACTGTGATGTGTGAATAATCGTCGGTATACCACTATCACCGCAGGCAGAGATATACCAAAGTTTAAAACACATACACAGTAGCGCTCTTCAGAGGCAGGAATTCATAGTTTGCATTAAAGAGCGTTAGAAACAGTTCAACACTTTTAGAAAGTAAGATTTATTACTAAAAGGTCAAAAGGGTGCAATAAAAATATTTACAGAAAAATATGTAGCCAATATATATATATATATAATATACAGAAAGCAATAGCACAGCAAAGAGATAACAGAGAGGAGTTTAGAGGGTTAAAGTACTTGCCAAATGTCCTGGTTTAAGCAGATCAGGTTTCATGAGCCAAAAGGATGCCTTATCTCCCAACCTTAGTTCCAATGTTAAAAAAGGAGAATTATTCAACTTCACAACTCAGCCCAGCTTAGCTTTTTCTAGCAACTCCACAGGGTGTCTCCCTGGAGCAGTAAACCAAGTGCCTCATTTGGGGAGGGAGTTGTAGGTGGAGACCTCAGGCTATGACCAAAGCCTGCCCAAAATATATTATGGTTCATAACTTATTCTTGGTGCATTTAGCAGCCTGGCCACTAGAAGATTAATATGCAGACACATCTGCGGAACGGTTAGATATGAAATATGACATATCTGCTTGATGGTTCAGGAGATATTATTTTCTGCTCTCCTGTACATGCCAGCTAGGTGGTGTAATATACCAGGTGATTTGTATCAAAGTTAGCCATCCGAATCTGTGCTCCATGTTTGTGTAAGTCTTTCATAATCCAAGACATGTAATCATAGGGGAAAATGGATATTGAATGTGGTGTCTGGTTTATGACTTATCTGGAATGTCTTTGAACTCAGTGAAGGACTTGGTTTATGGTTTTACGATATCCTAGATTGCACAGCTAACAGACAGCTAGGCCCCAGCTCGGTTGTGGGATTTATAGCCATGACACCCTCCCATGGAGTTTACTGCCTGTGATCTGCATCAAACAGACCATATGTCACTCAACAGAGAGGGAGGGGGGATGAGGACAGCTGATTTGGGAGTAGAGCATGATAGAAGATGGAAGACCCTTAACAAGATGGAGGACCGCGTCCATCTCTGTATGCATGATTGCTACAATCCTAAACACAATTATACTGCGTTCAGAAGAAGAACGTTTAACTGCCCCTAAACTCTGGTAAAAGCCTATGTGTACATGGACACAGGCTTTTATTGAGTTGAATTCAGGGGCTTCGCAAAAAAAAAGCCAAAAGCTCCTAAACTCACAATTAGGACCAGCAGTGTACATGAGGCCTTCGTTGCAGATCAGCAGATGCCAACGTTATGGATTTTTTAACCCTTTCAACCTCCCACCTCGTTTAACTCAGCTCAATCATGTCTCTGCAGTGTCTTGTATATAAATCCCTTCACTTCCCTTATCCTGCCTATATCTAAATTAACCCCTTTACCTCTTCTTCCCTTTCCATATGACCTGCACATATATTGTATTCATTGCACCATTACCAAGCACCACCAACCCTCTAAACTCCAGCATGCTTGTTCATTCCCAAAACTTGTGAAAAAAAAAAATAGTGACAGATTTCTGCAAATGCGCACAAATGCTGCCAGCTTCTGGTAGAAAAGAAATATAGCGCCTGGCAACATTTGTGTGTATGCACATAAACCTGCCGTACATGCACACGTGGGCCGCAAAAAGTTGCAGCTTGGTTACTCACTGCCTTCTGGGATACCTGTGACATAGCTATTCCAGGAGGCAGCCGGGCCCTGCCTAGGCAGGAAACCAGGAAAAGCTACCCTGCAGCACAAAAAGAACACTAAGTTATGAAAATTAGAATACGTCTTCTTAGCATTTGGGAGAGGGGAGGGACAAAATAAGAAACAGTTGATTGAGTGACTTTAGTAGCAATTTAACTGGAGGTTCCTGCACACACAGTATGAAAATCAAAAATACCTTCCATCCCATGGCTGAGATGGAAAACCTCTTTTAAAGTATATTAGTTTTGAATTATTTTTATTTTGTATATATATATATATATATATATATATATATATATATATATATATATATATATATATACACACACACACACATTTTCATTTTTTTTTGTCTATAATGTATACATTAAAGAGGTATTAACGTCTCCTTGAGAAAGTAAAAAAAAGCCCCTCCTGCAGGTTTAAGTCATAATGTACTAGTATGTACCTCAAGCTTGCCAACAAATGGAGCCCTCCAGCGCTGGGCTGTGACAGCTTCCCTCCCCGGCTGCTTACATGTTGACCTGGTATACTTTTCGGGTTGCAAATTTTTGCCCGCTTAAATGGCCGGGTTAAAGTGAAATAACTTCCGTGCAAACGCACGGGAGTCTCTTCGCTGCAGCACACAGAGTGTGCCGTAAATGCATGCGCATGCATGGCTCAGATCGCATTACCACTGACAGGTGGGGGGGCATTTACGACATAAGAGACCTCTAGGGTCGCCTCTGTTATAAAAACCGTGCATGTCGGCAGATTTTGTCATGCTGGAGCTTACTACCACTTTATTAGACAGATGCTTATATTTGTTTATTATTTATATACAAATTTTATTTTACAAATTTAACACAGGGTGCAAAATATTCATATGTAACATTTCTGATTTATCCAACTAAAAAACTAAACTTAGAAGTGCTATTTTTTTGTCTTGAATAAAATACATATGAATATGTAAAATACATTTTGAGACACGATACATCCCCTTTAAAAAGGTTAACTAGATGAAACAGAAAATGTATTTTTACCTTTTCAATATCAACAAGTTCGGTCTCATAAATTTCCGCAATTGTGATGTGATGCTTAGCAGCAATTGTAAACCTTCCCTGTAAAAGATAAAACCTGTTCATGTCACCAACCTAAAAGAATGCACACAGCTACAGTAAAACAAAAGATGTTACATGTAGGCAGTAACTTTTTGACCAAAGTTTCTGTAAAAAAAAAAATGGTAGAAGGATATTTAAAAAATTTAATTTTACATGCTAAAGTGTATATCTGGGCAAAATAAAAAAAAGGCATGCAGTACATTCTCTGCAGCGGTGTACATTTCCCATTTTTTGTTCCTTTAAAAATGCTGTAAGTACACAAGACACCTGCAAGAAATCCCGGGTATTATTATTATTATTATTATTATACAGTATTTATAAAGTGCCGATAGTTCGCTCAGCGCTGTACATTACAAAGGGGGACAGAACATGTGACAGAACAATAACAATACAATGCAAAACATGAGGGGATTGAGGGCCCTGCTCTTTCGAGCTTACAATCTAGGGTACCCCTAACTTTCTTTTTTAGCTGATAACACGGTGCCATTGAAATTTCCCTGTTGCCCAGTTATTTTCTGCTGCAATATACAACATTTCCTCCTTATTCTATGGGGATGAGGGGGGTCCTGTAGTCCACCAGAGGAGAACTGAACAGCCTAACATTTTTGCTTGTGCAGCAGAGACAGTGTGTTGTCAGCTGAAACAGGAAGTTAGGAGCGCACTGGATTGTTGGCAGGTCAACAGGTATTTTTCTGTACTTACATCATTTTTAACTACTTGCCCTCCGAAAAGGCTTTATCCTCTCCATGACCAGGGCATTTTTTTTTGCTATTCAGCACTGCGCTAATTAAACTGGCAATTGCTCGGTCATGCAACACTGTACCCAAAAAAAAAAATATATATATATATATATATATATATATATATATAATTTATTTTTACACAAGTAGAGCTTTCTTTTGGTGGTATTTGATCACCACTGGGTTTTTTTTTTTTATTAAACATAAAGAGACCAAAAAAAAAACCACAATATCGTCTACTTTCTGTTATAAAACATATCCAATAAAATCAAATTTCTTCATAAACTCAAGCCAAAATGTATTCTGCTACATGTCTTTGGTAAAAAGAAATCCCAATAAGTGTATATTAATTGGTTTGTGTGAAAGCATCTACAAACTATGGTATATATACTGGAATTTACGCAGATATAGATGCTATATTGGTATTGGCCGTCATCATTGACTTATGGTGGGACTATGATAGTGTGGAGAGCAATTTGGCACTAACAGACACTGGCTGGGAGGGCACTGATACTGACATCGCTAGTGACACTAATGCAGAATATTAATACTGTACTAATGACACTGGCTAGAAAGGGGTTAACAAGAAGGGGTAATCAAGGGGTTAACTGTGTGCCTAACAAGTGTAATGTGTGCTGCTTTTACTTACAGATCTGGATTCTTTGTTTTCCCTAAACTCAGAGTTGATTTCAAGGTGAAGAAACAGCCAGATCGCTGTCTGTGTACAGAGTTGTGTGTGTGTTTGTAAACACAGAACTCTGTGCTGTGATTGGCCATAGCCAATCAGCAGTTATAGAGCCAAGATCAGTGGCTGAAACCTGTTGACAAGCACATGGTGTGTCCAATCACAGCAAAGGTCAGCAGGGGGGTGCGTGCATGCATGTCTGGAAGCAGGCGGTGACGTACGAGTGCATTGCCTAGCCTGTAGCTGCTGCCCACCCGTAGTAAATGTACTATGGGTGGGTGGCAAGTGATTCCACACTTCCGTGTAGGGAGCGTGCACATGCGCCGTCGGCGGCTTGCTTCTGCTGTGAATACTCACAGCAGAAACTGATCAGTTGGTGCTGGCCAACATGTGTCCGCCAGCCCCTTGTCGATTGTCGGGCAGAGACACAGAACAGAGCTCTGCCTATGTAAACAAGGCAGGGCTCTGTTCTGACGGGGGGGGGTAGTAATGGAACTTGTGTCCCTGTAAAGCAGGGAATAAGATCCATCACTTCCCTTAGTAAAAGCACCCAACACAGTACACTGGCTAGGTACGCAGTTAGCCATTTGATCGCCCTAGATGTTTAACCCCTTCCCATTAGTACAGTGTCAGTGCATATTTTTAGCACTGATCACTGTATTAGTGTCACTGGTTCCCACAAATTGTCAATTAGTTTAAAAATGTCCACTGCAATATCGCAGTCCCGCTATAAGTTGCTGATCGCCGCCATTGCTAGTATATTAAAAAAAAAATCCAGTATATACCCCATAGTTTGTAGATGCGCAAACCAATCAATTTACGCTTATTGGGATTTTTTTTTTACCAAAAATATGTAGCAGAATACATATTGGCCTAAATTTCTGAAGAAATGTGATCTTTTAAATTTTTATTGGATATGTTTTATAGCAGAAAACGAAAATATTGTTTTTTTTTTTCCAAAATTGTCGCTTTTTTTTTTTTTTTTATAGCGCAAAAAAAAAACCCCCAAATGCAGTGGTGATCAAATAACACCAAAAGAAAGCTTTATTTGTGGGGGGGGGGGAATTACATAAATCTTTATTTATGTACAGTGCTGCATAACCGCGCAATTGTCAACTGAAGTAACGCAGTTCCATATCGCAAAAAAAAAAATGGCCTGGTCAGGAAGGGAGATAACTCTTCCGGAGGTCAAGTGGTTAAAGAGAAAACATGGAGAAACTCCTCATGTATTACAGAGATTTACTGCATATATTTTTTTTTCCTCTCTCAGACACTTTAAAGCTAAATCTGTGAGCTCTACTGCTGCTGTCCCCAAAAAACATATACACGTTCCTAAATGGAAACCTATGAAGAGAAAAAGGTTCCCATCGCTGACCTCTTCATCTGAATAACGCTAGCTGCTTGGTTCTAACGCTGACTCTTTGGATTTGATACTAAGCCCATGACCCTGAACAAATAAAAGTAGAAAAAGACACCTGACTCTTCTCTGACTTTCCAGATCCGTAGACTAGTACTGAAGCCAGAGGATCGGCACAACAGCCAGTAGCATTTTTAGGAGGATCAGCAATGTAAGCCCCTATATTTCTCTTATGGCAGAAGTACTAATCAAGCCACAGGTATATCCCACTGTTTTATAGGAATAATCAGCATTCTAGTGAGTAATCACTTCTTACCATATCAGTGTAAATATCGATGGCTGCATTTAAGCAGTTGATGGCCTCTAGGGTTAGCAAATTGGGAAAGACAATGAAAAGCATCTTAACCATACAGAATGTAAAAATAAGAGTTCAATATATGACATGCTGATTATGATGCAGTAGAGAATGCGATACAAGGGAGGAAATAAAGGCACAAAGAGGTGGGCTACACATGCTGTGATACATGCAAGTCAGTTTAAGGTAACCGGCCCAATGAATGAGGGTGGCTCCAAAAGCGGTCCAGCGTTAAGGCAACAGGGCGCTTCATGTGTACCAGTGAAAGTGTGGCAGAGATGGCAGACAGACAGACGTGGCTCAAACACCACATACAGCAAAATACATACCTTGTGGATCAGCCTTCTTGTAGGCATTCCCGGCATCTACAAAACTTGTAGCTGCATCGTGTTTGCTCTGCAGTTGCATGTGTAGCTTGGCTGCCTGACAAAACGCATTTCCTGCAGCTGCAAAACAGATCACAAAAGACGTATTAGGATACTGAGATAAAAGGTATTACAAATGATAGCAATCAACTAGTTTACATCACAGCTATGGGTCGAGCACTGAAACAATAACATGTCATGCTGCTACTTAATAGAGTTACTAGACCAGTGTTTCTCAAGCTTTTTTCAGTCAAGGCACCCTTTAAAATGATGGACAGCCCCGAGGCACCCTTTAAAATTATGGACAGCCCCGAGGCACCCTTTAAAATTATGGACAGTCCCCGAGGCACCCTTTTAAAATGATGGACAGTCCCGAGGCACCCTTTAAAATGATGGACAGCCCCGAGGCACCCTTTGAAATTATGGACAGCCCCGAGGCACCCTTTAAAATTATGGACAGCCCCGAGGCACCCTTTAAAATTATGGACAGCTCCGAGGCACCCTTTAAAATTATGGACAGTCCCGAGGCACCCTTTAAAATGATGGACAGCCCCGAGGCACCCTTTAAAATGATGGACAGTCCCGAGGCACCCTTTAAAATGATGGACAGTCCCGAGGCACCCTTTAAAAATGATGGACAGTCCCGAGGCACAATTTAAAATTACGGATAGCCCCGAGGCACCCTTTAAAATTATGGACAGCCCCGAGGCACCCTTTAAAATTATGGACAGCCCTGAGGCACCCTTTAAAATTATGGACAGCCCCGAGGCACCCTTTAAAATTATGGACAGCCCCGAGGCACCCTTTAAAATGATGGACAGTCCCGAGACACCCTTTAAAATGATGGACAGTCCCGAGGCACCCTTTAAAATTATGGACAGCCATGAGGCACCCTTTAAAATGATGGACAGTCCCGAGGCACCCTTAAAATTATGGACAGTCTCGAGGCACCCTTTAAAATTATAGACAGCCCCGAGGCACCCTTTAAAATTATGGACAGTCTCGAGGCACCCTTTAAAATTATAGACAGTCCCGAGGAACCCTTTAAAATTATGGACAGTCTCGAGGCACCCTTTAAAATTATGGACAGTCTCGAGGCACCCTTTAAAATTATGGACAGTCCCGAGGCACCCTTTATAATTTTGCTCTGTCCATAATTTTTAAAGGGTGCCTCGGGACTGTCCATAATTTTAAAGGGTGCCTCGAGACTGTCCATAATTTTAAAGGGTTCCTCGGGACTGTCCATAAATTTTAAAGGGTTCCTCGGGACTGTCTATAATTTTAAAGGGTGCCTCGAGACTGTCCATAATTTTAGACAGTCCCGAAAAATGGACAGTCCCGAGGCACCCTTTAAAATTATGGACAGGAGGAACCCTTTAAAATTATGGACAGCCCCGAGGCACCCTTTAAAATTATAGACAGCCCTTGGCCTCTGTTTTACATAGAGTAGATGCTGATGATGCTCATGGAACGAATTCATTACACCTTACTGGATAAAATGCACTTATTTGATTAGAAAATGGAAATCTTGGAAGGTTCATAGACATTTACTGCATACTTAGGGCCATTCCATTTGATGATTGCCTGACTTGTACTGTTGGCAGATATATAATTCTACCTATCTCTTTATTTATATTTCTCATGTACTTAGACTCTATTCTTTCTTCTTCTTTTCTTTTTTACTTTTTCGATATGATTGTGCCTTTTTGAAATGTACAATTCAACTGTGCTTTGTTACTACTGTACACATTGTTTGAAGCTGTACTGTTATTTTACAGACTATTTCTTGAAAAAATAAAAATTGTTTGTAAACAAAAAAAAATTATAGACAGCCCCGGGGCACCCTTTAAAATTATGGACAGTCCCGAGGCACCCCTTTAAAATTATGGACAGTCCCAAGGCACCCTTTAACATTATAGACAGCCCCGAGGCACCCTTTAAAATTATGGACAGTCCCGAGGCACCCTTTAAAATTATAGACAGTCCCGAGGCACCCTTTAAAGTTATGGAGAGTCCTGAAGAACCCTTTAAAATTATGGACAGTCCCGAGGCACCCTTTAAAATTATGGACAGTCCCGAGGCACCCTTTAAAAATATGGACAGTCCTGAGACACCCATTAAAATTATAGACAGTCCCGAGGCACCCTTTAAAATTATGGACAGTCCCGAGGCACCCTTTAAAATTATGGACAGTCCCGGGTACCCTTTAAAATTATGGACAGCCCCTGAGGCACCCTTTAAAATTATGGACAGTCCCGAGGCACCCTTTAAAAATATGGACAGTCCCGAGACACCCATTAAAATTATAGACAGTCCCGAGGCACCCTTTAAAATTATAGACAGTCCCGAGGCACCCTTTAAAATTATGGACAGTCTTGAGGCACCCTTTAAAATTATGGACAGCCCCCAGTCACCCTTTAAAATTATGGACAGCCCCGAGGAACCCTTTAAAATGATGGACAGTCTTGAGGCACCCTTTAAAATGATGGACAGCCCCGAGGAACCCTTTAAAATGATGGACAGTCTTGAGGCACCCTTTAAAATTATGGACAGCCCCGAGGAACCCTTTAAAATGATGGACAGTCTTGAGGCACTCCATTCTAAAATATGAAAAGCTATTCTAATAGTTTTATATAACGCAGCAACATCCACACATGTAGGACACCCAACATTAGAGGTGATTTATTCTTCCAAAGCAAATACACTTTTGCACACTGATACTGACTAGTATTCCAGTGTTTCTCCTCTCCCTCAGTTTTTATCCATCACTGAGCTAATGTGACCCCAGCACTGACGGAGAGGGGCGGGGGATGGTCAAACTAGGATGCTGTGCAGGCAGCTGACATCCTCCTTATCAACTGATGATGTCATTGGTTATCAGGATGCCGGCGGCTAGAAGGTCTTCTCGTTTCCTTTTACGGTCATTCCTGGAAACCGGTCATGCTGCGAATCTGCGAAAAACGGCCATTTTTTGTAAGCATTGGTGGCAGCAACGACCGAATTTTCGTTTATCAGCCCACAATTCGGCCGATAATGTCCTGTCTATGGCCTGTATAAGTCTGTTGTTTTTCAACAGAACAAGCTGGGGGTGGGGGGGGGGGGGGGGGGGGGAGAGGGAGGGGGGGGAGAGGGGGAGGGGGGGGGGGGAGGGGAGAGAGAGAGAGGAAGGGGAGAGAGATGGGGAGAGAGAGGGGGAGAGGGGGGAGAGAGATGGGGAGAGAGAGAGGGGGAGGGGGGAGAGAGAGAGATGGGGGGAGGGGGAAGAGGGGGAGAGAGAAGGGAAGAGGGGGGAGAGAGAAGGGGAGAGGGGGGGAGAGAGAAGGGGAGAGGGGGGAGAGAGAAGGGGAGAGGGGGGAGAGAGAAGGGGGGAGGGGTGGAGAGAGAGGGGGGGGTGGAGAGAGAGGGGGGGTGAGAAAAGAAAAGGGGAGAAAGAGAAGGAGAGAGAAGGAGAGAGGGGGGGAGAGAGAAGGAGAGAGGGGGGAGAGAGAAGGAGAGAGGGGGGAGAGAGAAGGAGAGAGGGGGGAGAGAGAAGAGAGAGAAGGGAAGAGGGGGGGGGGGGGAGAGAAAAGGAGAGAGAAGGGAAGGGGGGGGAGAGAGAAGCAGAAAGGGGGGGAGAGAGAGAGGGAGAAAGGGTGGGGGAGAGAGAGAGAAGTTGTTTTCAACCCAAAAGGCAAACATTGTATTGCAGGTGGTGGCTGCATTCATGTTCTTTTTTAGGCTTTCTTTCCTTTATTTTTGACTTCACTTGGTGATCCTGCAAGTAAGTCTGTTGTTTTTCAACAGAACAAGCTGTCCTGCAGATGTAGCAGCTACAGGGTTGAGACAAACTATTTAATACTGACATGGGATCTTACAATGATCAGTTTTTATTTGTGAAACTTTTATCCCAAAAAGTAAAAAACTGTTTGCTGGAACTGCTTAAAAATGTTAGCTGGAGTTTGGCTTCAAAGTGTTAGTGTATATAAATCTGCTAGCACATCCAAAAATATTATTATTATACAGGCTTTATATAGCGCCAACAGTTTACGCAGCACTTTACAATATAAAAAGGATAGGACAATTACAATACAGAAGGAATAAGAGGGCACTGCTTACGGAGCTTACAATCTAAATGATGCTATCAATGACAATGCTGTTGTACAAAAGTGCCCCCTGTGCTTCTTCATCCAGAATGGGTGCACTCTAATACAGGAGGTGTGTTACTGGTAGTATCACCAGATGAGAAGGCTAAGAAAAGAAAACCAATGCAGCCACCACATCTAATGATTGGTAAGCTGCAATACATTACATTTTTGGTTTGGGGTTTGATACCGGTGTTGCCGGCTGCTACCAAAATGTATTTATGCTCTTATCAAGATTTAATATGTAAATGACAAATAAAAAAACAAACAAAACCTTGCTTTTGGCTAAAACCATCAACGTGTCGATATGCAAAGAATAAAAGCTAAACAATCTGGCACTTACCACTCCAGTTCTTTGCCATCTTGAACATATTTGCAGCTCTGGCATACATCTCACAGGCTTCTTCTACTTTTGTGTTTCCTCTAATTCAAGGAAAGGAAAAAAAATATTGTTACTGCTCTTTAACGATATATTTATATATATATATATATATATATATATATATATAGACACACACACATATATATACATATACATACACGCATGCGCACGCACTATATTGATATTATCTAACCATTTAGGCCTGCTGCACACATGAGTAGAAAATGCTGAAGATTTTTTTACTGATGTGAAATGAGATGCATTGTTGTCTATGGGACAATGCACACAGCAGAGTACAGCTGGGTAATACAGCGAAGAGTACAGAGCAGTAAAACAAGAAATAGAACATTTTTGATTTGAGTGCAGTAATTTACTCCTGTATTTCCTCGTTTGCACACGGGCGTTAAAAGTATAAATGAGAAAATTACAATACTGGCAATGAAGAAGAATTTTACTTATCTATACATAGCTCTTTACACAGTTTTTGGCCCCCTGCACACGGGCATCACAGGTTCCTGAGTAAACATCAGTAAATTATGATGCCCATGTGCCTAACAGTTCTGAGCTAAAAGTTTCAGGTGATTTTAGTAAAGTTAAATTACATTCAGATTTTGCATCTTCAGTTGTCACAAGCTGACATATTCATGTTTAGTTCTGGATCCGGTCTGAGACATTTTTCACCTTTCACCAGTTAGATCAGCTTTTATATTGACGTCAGACATCTCATTATGTAAACACCTTTTTATATCAATTCATCTTCTGCCAGAATAATACTGGGTTGTCTGTCCCAGAACATCTGTGTATTCTGCTTCAGCTATTTCTAGGACAATCTTTATAAAAAAATGTGTCTTTCGCTGAGGTCCATGGTAAATTGAAAGATCAGCTTTGTGTATATCTGCTGAATTATCCTCCAGCCTCAATCAATGCACTGGACTTCTCAGCTCAGGCCACCCACTAGGGCCATGATGAGGTATCACCTGCTGGACATCTTATCTCATACTGTAGAAAAACCAGCAATTGAAGCAATACTCCATAGTGGGAGAATGAGCCAAAAATCTTCTTTCAGATACACAAAGTCAGTGTTTTATGGCACATTTTGCAATGCCCGCTGTGGCAGTGTGGCGATCTGTCACGATATAAAAAGGATATTTCACCCGGGATTCTCAACAAGGCAGGTTGAGGGGCTCCAGGGTACTTGTTTGATGCAGAGGAAACTGGCTTTTCACTTTCCTCATTTGTTTGTAAAGTCCATTTTGGGACCTGGAGCCTGGAGATTACAAAGTGATTTGGGAGGGATGAAATCTCCAATCCTGGAACCAGGTTTTGGGAATGGCCAGGATACTGATTGGTCAGGTGTGTGTGTCTCTCTTCTAGAGTCAGGACCAGGGATCTGGGCTCCATCCTCCCGAGAGGAGTCCATGTGGGTGCAAGGGAGCAGCCACAAGTGTGCATGGTGGCACAGTATAGTCTGAGAGCAGACAGAGCCCAAGCCTGTGGGCTGGAGAAGCAGGAGTGCCGAGAACGGGAGCTAACCCAGGTGTTGCACGTGAATGGTCAAGAGGACCGAGGCATGAAGCCTGGAGGCTGAATTTATGTTTTTGGGTTGCATTGATGGTGGATACCCCTGCATGGGAAACCTATGTTGTGTGGAAGTTTCTTTTAAATATAATTGGGCAAAAACGGCTCTTTAAAAAAGAAACAAGTGAGTGACCGTGTGCTTAAAATTAATTCGTTAAGGTGCATGTCTTCAAAATATCTGGGCTGCTTTAGCACTGCATGTCCCAACACAAACATATCATGCAGTATAGTCCCTGGAATTCATTATTATTATACAGGATTTATATCGCGCCAACAGTTTGCTCAGCGCTTTACAATATAATGGGAGACAATACAGCAACAATACAGTTCAATACAAGAGGGTTAGGAGGGCCCTGCTCCTCGGAGCTTACAATCTAAGAGGGAGGGGCTAGTGGTACAAAAGGTAGTAACTGTGGGGGATGGAGTGGTCGGAGGAGTAGAAGATTCCATTATTAGCTGAGGACAGGATAGGCTTCCCTGAAGAGATAGGTTTTCAGATATCACCTAAAAGTGATCAGAGTAGGCGATAGTCTGGTAAATTGGGGTAGAGAGTTCCAGAGGATGGGAGAAGCACTGGAGAAGTCCTGTAGACGAGCATGGGAGGAGGAGACAAGGGAGCTAGAGAGCAGGAGGTCATGCGAGGAGCAGAGAGTACAGTTTGGGTGATATTTGGAGACAAGATTGGTGATGTAATTTGGGGTGGAGTTATAAATGGCTTTATATGTGATTGTTAATGTTTTGAATTTATATAATTCATAGAGTGTTGTAGAAATCTGTCATGCAGTAGTGAGGCAAATAGCAGAACCTGCGACAGACTCATGTACATGTCAGTAAAATGTATATAAATCTATCACAACTCTGACAGAACTGTGTAGCTGAAAAGCCATTTGAAGAGGTCGGGAGAGTGAGGCCCCATGCACAATGGGTGTTTGGCCCCGATGCAGGGGGCTCTGACGTTTAGCTACAGGCTGAAGGAATAGGTGTCCCGGTCAGCCTCTATAGGAATCTGGTAGCTGCTGTGGCTAGATGGTGCCCTTAGTTGTACGATCGTTTAGGGAAGTACGCACCCATGGACCAATGCCTGGAACACAAGAAGTCTGTTTCAAGCATCAACCCCTGGGGTGCATGCTGCCCTAAATGTTCATACAGCTAGGTGCACCATCCAGGCCCATCCAGCCATAGCAGCTCTTAGAATCTCAGAGATTGAAAGGCTTCCAGAAGTGGGGTTGGACGTCCCACCTGGGCCTACTGCTCACATCTAAACAACGAAGACCCATGCATTGGGGCTAAACACCAAGTGTGCACGGGGGTTAAGGTGCAAGTTCAGCTTTCAGTAAAAAAATAATAAATGCAAGGTTTTTGCAGCATTTTTTGTACATTTATTTTTGTCTGTAGGAGCCTGTAAAGCATTGCACCACTGATCAGCAGACAGCTGGTGCCATGCAGGTCTCCTGCAGATCTGTCAGTAGATCTGCTTGCCTGTACCAGACGTAAGAGTAAGCAGATATACTGACAGGAAGAATGAATGAAATACCATGGTGCTCCAAATTGAGGACTACAAGGCGACAGCCACTAAGGCTGTCGGGACTTGTAGACTCTCATTCACAGAGGACTATGAACAAGTGACGTGGCTGGGTGGGCGGAGTCCCGTATGGCAGCATTTTTTTTTTAAATTTAACAGCTAGGGGAGGGGTGGGGCTGTTGTGAGACAATCCCCCGCTAGCAGTCAGAGGTGTCTGATCATAACATGTTACACCCTGAATATGGGGTGTAACATGTTACAAAAGGTGAACTTATCCTTTAAAGTGTAATAGTATGAGATCCTCCTGCGCTCATGGGAATAACTGACACAATACAGCTGCTGTCACTTTAACTAATACCAATAAGTGCAAGAAATAAACATAAAATTAGTGAAGCGCTTGTATCTCATGAATACAATCATGTGTCTCCATAAAGTATAATAGTAAATCAAAGTGACCACGATATATATTAAAAATATGTGAACTCCCTCTAGTGGATAGAAAAAATAATGTCAACCGAAATGACTATAATGGCTAAATATCACACATTAAGAACCTAAATATGTAGTGCATAAATCAGATATACTAAACAAAGTATATATACATGAAAACAGAATAATTGGCCACATACAATGGTGTCTAAATCAAACATAACTAATATATGCCATAAGTGAAAAAGACAATATCAAAGGTGAAAAAATATTCCATGCATGTGACTGTGCTTTAAGCTGGAACACACACGTGATCTCCACTTCTAAGTGCAAGTACTCTCCTTCAAATGGCAGCAATGCCTGCTCACCTCCCTTCCTCGACCCACACAGGGCCTCAAAGCAGTTACCACCTCAGTGGTGTATTCCTCTGGCAGACTCCTTAATCCTCCTCCTCTCTTATGCAACTCATAGAAAGACAAGAAAGCCTTCCATAGTGTAGTAAGTTTTAATAGGCAAAGTAAAAAGTGACAAAGTAAACCACTCACATGCTCCTTTCCATAAACAAGCGTTTTTCCCAGCCTGTGGGTAGATATGCATGCACCTGGGGGAATCCAATATGGCCACTGTGTCCGGACATACGTCACCAGGAAGTAGACAAACCGACGCGTTGCATCACGTGCGCCGTGACTTCATCAGGACCCTGATGAAGTCACGACGCACGTGACGCAACGCGTCGGTTTGTCTACTTCCTGGTGACGTATGTCCGGACACAGTGGCCATATTGGATTCCCCCAGGTGCATGCATATCTACCCACAGGCTGGGAAAAACGCTTGTTTATGGAAAGGAGCATGTGAGTGGTTTACTTTGTCACTTTTTACTTTGCCTATTAAAACTTACTACACTATGGAAGGCTTTCTTGTCTTTCTATGAGTTGCATAAGAGAGGAGGAGGATTAAGGAGTCTGCCAGAGGAATACACCACTGAGGTGGTAACTGCTTTGAGGCCCTGTGTGGGTCGAGGAAGGGAGGTGAGCAGGCATTGCTGCCATTTGAAGGAGAGTACTTGCACTTAGAAGTGGAGATCACGTGTGTGTTCCCAAAGCACAGTCACATGCATGGAATATTTTTTCACCTTTGATATTGTCTTTTTCACTTATGGCATATATTAGTTATGTTTGATTTAGACACCATGTATGTGGCCAATTATTCTGTTTTCATGTATATATACTTTGTTTAGTATATCTGATTTATGCACTACATATTTAGGTTCTTAATGTGTGATATTTAGCCATTATAGTCATTTCGGTTGACATTATTTTTTCTATCCACTAGAGGGAGTTCACATATTTTTAATATATATCGTGGTCACTTTGATTTACTATTATACTTTATGGAGACACATGATTGTATTCATGAGATACAAGCGCTTCACTAATTTTATGTTTAATCCTTTAAAGTGTATGTTCATCTTTTTTTCATAAAAAGTGAACACACCACCCTATACCCTCCTCACCCCTCCAGTCCTTGCTGCACTTACATCCATGGGGCTGTGCCCATGCAGCCAGTGTAATGGTCAAAAAATTTGAAATCCCGCTCTTCTTCCCCTTCTTTTTGCAGATGATCAGACTGATTCCAATTTGTCAGTGCTGGCACCTGACTGCTACGACCAATTAGAATCGCTCTGATCCATCTCAGAAAACCCTAGAGAAAGAAGAGCAGACATTTCAAATCCCTAGACCAGCCTCTCTCAACCAGGATGCCCAGGCACCCTGGGGTGTCTTGAGGTATTTTCAGGGGTGCCTTGGCAAAATTTCTAAAAATTGCCCAAAACCTGTATACAAGCCAGTGGGTGGAATGAGCCTGCCTTTTAGTTACACAAAGCCACAGGTCTTCATTGTACGCCATTACGACATTCTAGCCGCCACAATCCTGACAACCAATGACATCATCAGTTGATCCTAGATTGTAAGCTCCCAGGATCAGGGCCCTCCTAACCCTCTTGTATTGAACTGTATTGTTGCTGTATTGTCTCCCTTTATATTGTAAAGCGCTGAGCAAACTGTTGGCGCCATATAAATCCTATATAATAATAATAATAATATATAAATCCTGTATAATAATAATGATGAGGATGTCAGCTGCCTTCACAGCATCCTAGTTTGACCCTCCTGCGCCCCTCTCCATCAGTGTTGGGGTCACATTAGCTTAGTGATGGAGAAAACCTGAGGAAAAAGAGAAACATGGGAATACTAGTCAGTACCAGGGTGCAAAAGTGTATTTGCTTTGGAAGTATAAATCACCTCTAATGTTGGGTGTCCCACATGTGTGGATGGTGCTGCGTTATATAAAAGTATTAGAATAGTTTTTCACATTTTACAATGGGGTGCCTCATGACTTTCCATAATTTTAAAGGGTGACTTGAATGAAAAAAGGTTGAGAATCACAGATCTAGACCATTACACCAGATGTGTGGGCACTGACAGCTAATCATCCATCAAAGTAACAGCACCAGGGACTGAGGGAAAGGGGGTGTTGGTGGGGGGTGTTCGCTTTAGGGTGTTAGTTTGGTAAGTTCACCAACCAAACTGACACCCTTACACTTTAATGGAAATGTATCAAATATCACTTCCAGAGGAACTGCAAGACAAAATTTTGTCACAGAATTGTCTCAAAGATGCAACACATTAACAACACATAATGTAATAAATGTACTCCAAACATGAAAAAGGTCTTCTTTACCTCCACTCTCCTAATCACCGACTTTCTTCATGAGTATCCCAAATAAGAACTACCTGAATTTGTCGCACAAATTGGTACGAACAGTGAAAATATTGCAGCATTTTTAGGAAGTTGCCGCAAGGTTTCCGACTACATACACACCCCCAG